CCTACCCCACCCACCTCCCTATTTTCTGCACATAAACTGACATTTTTCCCAGGCACCATCAGTTCTGAGGAAGGGTCACCGGACCTGAAACGTTAACTCTGTTTTTTCCTCCACAGATGCTGCCAGATCTGCTGAGCTGCTTTTCCAGCAACTTTGTTTTTGTTCATTGTTTTCAACTTGTTCTGCAGTGGCAAAATAAACAAACACTATTGCAGTACTGTAATGATTTGTATATTTATCTCCATTCTTGTAACAACCCTAAAATAGACATCTAAACATAAGACTGAAAACAAATTTGAAAGTGTTAACTCCTTGTTTGGACATGTTGCAATGTCAGTTGTTATCAAACATTTGCTATATGAGAAGGAAAACTAAAAATGTAAGACTGAAGCGGAAGAGTTAAATGAATAATGACAGCATCCATTAGAATCATCAAAGAGAAGAGCCAAGTGTGACAATTTGAGTATGTTTTATTTTGCAGCATCTTCTATTCCAGTACTTGTTTTAATGGGGATTTTCTGCTATTTGCTGCGGTTTGATAATCTTTTATCAACAGACAAGATGCAGTTTGAATGCTATGCATAACGTGGGGCCATTGCTCTCCATCTGCACTTTTCTTTAAACGGAACACTTTTATTTTTGGCAGAAGTATGCAGATTACATGACTTGAACAAACTAATTTTTTTTTCTTCATTTCAATCACTGAATGAAAGTCTGTATGTTCTATTGCTTTACTTCCACTGGTGCGCTGCTCATAGTATATTATCCTTAACACTAATAGCAAAACATGAGTATTTTGACCCAGCAGTTATAGACAACTTAAAAAGCATGGCACATTTAAACTTGTTTTCACATAGTTATGCTCAGGGAAATGACCTGTACACTCATTCGTGTGTAATTTCTTCTTGACTTGGAAGGTCATTCTCATACATGTCTTATAAATTTTATGTTCAGTTGTTTCCCATGCACGTTCTGTCTTCCGTTATGCCATGATGCTTATTCAATGCAGATATGCACATTCTAAACACACCCTTGTTTTACCTTGGAATTCTGAAGCAGCATTATACACAATACAACCCCTATTATTTGATATCTTTGACCTTACAATCAGTGGTGAAAAATATATTAATTGTAACTGATTTCTACTGACACTGGAGTTAGTATACTGGAATAAAATATATTTCAAGCTGTTCACAGAATTTGAAAAATAATTTACATTTTCAGTTTTGGCATGATTATTCCTGTAACCTCAGTTCTAAAGATTTGGATGGATTTTATTAGCCTAGGATTTATAATGAAACATGTTTTCTTTCTAAAAGGTAGTACACATTGTTGGTTGCCATTCAATAAGTATTCTTCCAGATTTTATTTTTCATCCATGAGATTTGGGCTTTGCTGGCTTGGCCAGCATGTGTTGCCCATGTTGAATTGTGATTGAGACGATGGTAGTGGCTGTCTTCTTGAAATGCTGCAGTACATATGATGCAGTTAAATTCACAGTGCTGTTAGGAAGTGAATTTCAGGATTTTAATTCAACACTTAGTGAGGGAATGATGATAATGTTTCAAATTGGGATGTCTGTGGCTTAAAGAGGAACTTGGTGTTGTTGATGGTCTTGTTCTCGTGCATCTGCTGCTCTTGTCCTCCTAGGTGGTAAAGATTAAGTGTCTTTCTAGCGCCCCCTCCAGTACTAGTCATCCTTTCTCAAGTAATGAGAACAAAACTGTACATAGTACTCCAGGTGTGGCCTCACTAGCATCCTATATAGCTGCAGCATAACCTCCATATTTTTAAACTCTATCCCTCCAGTAATGAAGGAAAACATCCCATTTGCCTTCTTAATTACCTACTGCACATGCAAACCAACTTTTTGTGATTCATGCACAAGGACACCCATGTCCCTCTGCACAGCAGCATGCTGCAATTTTTCATCATTTAAATTATAGTCCGTTTTGCTGTTATTCCTACCAAAATGGATGACCTCACATTAACAAATAACCTCTGAGCACCTACCTTGTCAAACCCTTTCAGAATCTTGAACATTTCATTGCAAGTAAACTCGTGGCTAAAAGAATGGTGTGTGAAAGAGGGTTTCCTTTTCATGGGGCACTGGCATCAGTTCTGGGACAGGAGGGATCTCTACCACTGGGATGGACTCCACTTGAATAGGGCCGGGTCCATTGTTCTGGCGAAAAGGGTAAATAGGGTGGTTAATAGGACCTTAAACTAGTAAGTAGGGGGGAAGGGAGAAATGAGCATAAAAGGAGAATAACAATTAATGAAAGGCAAAGCAGCAGGTTAGCAGGTGACGAGGAAGCTTCAACTCCATTGAAAATGAGAAAAAAAGTTAAAAGGGAAGAAGAACTCGAGAGCTGTTAGTAATGGAGGTAATAGGACCCAAAAAGAAGGTGCAAAAACTGGCATAAGGGCACTTTATCTGAATGCTTGGAGCATTCGAAACAAGGTGGATGAGTTGACGGCGCAAATCATGGCAAATGGGTATGATTTAGTGGCCATTACAGAGACATGGTTACAGGATGGTCATGACTGGGAGTTAACTATCCAGGGGTATCAAACTGTTCGGAAGGACAGACATGAAGATAAGGGAGATGGTATTGCTCTGATTTTTAAGGATGATATCAGGGTGGTAGTGAGAGATGATATAGGTTCAACTGAACAAAACATTGAATCCATTTGGGTGGAAATTAGGAATAGCAGAGAGAAGAAGTCACTGTTAGGTGTGGTCTATAGGCCACCAAATAATGACATCGTGATGGGGCAGGCAATAAACATAGAAATAGCTAATGCATGTAAAAATGGTACAGCAATTATCATGGGGGATTTTAGTCTACATATCGATTGGTCAAACCAGGTCGGTCATGGCAGCCTTGAGGAGGGGTTCATAGAATGCATCCGTGATAATTCCCTAGAACAATATGTAATGGAACCTATGAGGGAGCAAGCTATCCTAGATCTAGTCCTGTGTAATGAGACAGGAATAATTAATGATCTCACAGTTAGGGATCCTCTCGGAAGGAGCGATCACAGTATGATCGAATTTAAAATACAGATGGAGCGTGAGAAGGTTTAATCCAGCACCTATGTCCTGTGCTTAAACAAAGGAGACTATAAAGAAATGAGGGAGGAGTTAGCTAAGGTAGAATGGGAGCAAAAACTTTATGGTGGGTCAATTGAGGAACAGTGGAGGACTTTCAAAACGATTTTTCACAGTGCTCAGCAGAAGTATATTCTAGTGATAAGGAAGAACTGTAGGAAAAGAGAGAGCCAGCCATGGATGTCTAAGGAAATAAAGGAAAGTATCAGATTGAAAAAAAACACATACAAAAAAGCAAAGAGTAGTGGGAAACTAGTAGACTAGTAAATGGGTGTTTTTCTGGTTGGCGGTCAGTGGCTAGTGGTGTGCCTCAGGGATCAGTGTTGGGACCGCAATTGTTTACAATTTACATCGATGATTTGGAGTTGGGGACGAAGTGTGGTGTGTCAAAATTTGCAGATGACACTAAAGTGAGTGGTAGAGCAAAGTGTGCAGAAGACACAAAGTCTGCAGAGGGATATAGATAGTCTAAGTGAGTGGGCAAAGGTCTGGCAGATGGAGTACCAATGTTGATAAGTGTGAGGTCATCCATTTTGGTAGGAATAACAGCAAAATGGACTATGTTTTAAATGGTAAAAAATTGCAACACGCTGCTGTGCAGAGGGACTTGAGTGTCCTTGTGCATGAATCGCTAAAAGTAGGATTGCGGGTGCAGCAGGTAATTAAAAAGGCAAATGGAATTTTGTCTGCCATTGCGAGAGGGATGGAATTTAAAAAGAGGGAGGCTATGCTACAGCTGTATAGAGTCCTGGTGAGGCCGCACCTGGAGTACTGTGTGCAGTTTTGGTCTCCTTACTTGAGAAGAGATATACTAGCACTAGAGGGGGTGCAGAGGAGATTCACTCGGTTGATTCCAGAGTTGAGAGGTTGGATTATGAGGAGAGACTGAGTAGATTGGGATTATACTCATTGGAATTCAGAAGAATGAGGGGAGATCTTATAGAAACATATAAGATTATGAAGGGAATAGATAAGGTGGAGGCAAGGAGGTTGTTTACGCTAGCAGGTGAAACTAGGACTAGAGGGCATCGCCTCAAAATAAAGGGAAGCAGATGTAGGACTGAGGTCAGGAGAAACTTCTTCACCCAAAGGGTTGTGAATTCCCTGCCCAGTGAAGCGGTTGAAGCTACCTGGCTGAATGTTTTTAAGGCAAGGCTAGATAAATTTTTGAACAGTAAAGGAATTAAGGGTTATGGTGTGCGGGTGGGTAAGTGGAGCTGAGTCTCAAAAAGATCAGCCATGATCTTATTAAATGGCAGGGCAGGCTCGAGGGGCCAGATGGCCTACTCCTGCTCCTAGTTCTTATGTTCTTATGTTCAATCAGCTCCCATTCTTGAAAACTCCAAAGAAGAGGGGCTCATTCCATCCGGTCTTTCCTCGTAGAACAGGCCAGTCATCCTAGGAATCAACCTAATGAACCTTTTGTTGTTGCAGTGTCTTGAAGGCAAGTAAATCCTTTTACTTTCTTCACAGATCCTATTTGTTTTATGTATTCTTGGCTTCTTCCGTTTTTTTATATTGGATCAGTTTGAGACGACAAATGCTGAAGTTTGATTCACTTTTATCAGTAGGTAGAAAGTAATGTGAATGCCACCTATCAACTATCTTCTGGGTTTTGTATGAAGGAGACAAGAACTCAAGTACAAAGCTGCTCATTTCATGTCTTCAGAAAAGCAAGAGCCACACTGCTATTGAATGGTCATTTAATTTTCACTTCTGCCCAGTCCTTTGATTTCAATGTATTTTGGTCACAGAACAGATTAATATCAGGACATCATGCCACATACAACTTGATTGAACCACTTTTGGAATTGATTTGCAGTTTTTTATTAAATGAAATCTTTATAATCTTTGGACAGTACTAATTCTTCTGTCTTTTATGCAGGCTGATAAAGAATTTGTGTGGTCATTGTGGAAACGTTTGCAGGTAGCAAATCCTGACCTCACACAGGCCATCAGCTTGGTTCTAGAAAGGTGAGTGAAGTTTAGTTTTGCTGTTGAAGTTTGTTAAGAAGCACATGGTACCTCACCTTCAACAAAAATGCATGGAGTCAAGGATTTAACAGTTGCTAAGGATGATTGGCTGGTTTTGCTATTTTCGTCGCCTACCATGCCAAACTTGTCACAATGCTACCCTGGCCCTAGCCCTGAACTTACACCTTTTTTGAGTTTCTCTTCATCTCTCCTTTGCCTACAGGGCTTTAAACTAAATAGAGTGGGTGGGGGGGTGGGTGGTGGCTTGGGTTCAGGAGGAGGGAAATGTAAGCTTACAAATCAAAATAATATGGTAACATTGAAGATACTACTCTGAGAAATACCTGCAGAGATGGCCTGGCGCTGAGATGACTGACCTGCAACAAACACAATCATCTTCCTATATGCCAGATATGAATCCAACCACTGGAGATTTTGTCCCCTGATACCTATTGATTTCAATTTTACTAGGGCTCTTTGATGCCACACTCAGTTGAATGTGACCTTGATGTTAAGGGTTGTCACTCTCACCTCACCTCTGGAAATCAGCTCGTTTGTCCATGTTTGAACAGAGGCTATATTGAGGAGTTAAGTGGCCCTGGCGGAATGTAAACTAATATCATTGAGCAGGTTACTGCTGAGCTGGTGCAGCTTGATAGCACCAGTTGGTGACACCTTCCATCACTTTACCGACGTCAAGAGCAGACAGATGGGGCAGTAATTGGCTGGGTTGGATTTGTCCTGCTTTTCATGTACAGGACATAGGGCAATTTTTCACTTTGTGAGGTGGATACCAGTGTTGTAACTGTACTGGAAGAGCTTAGCTAGGTGAAAGGCAAATTTTGGAGCCCCAAGACTTTAGTACTATTGCCGGAATGTTGTCAGGGTCCACAAACTTTGCATTATCCAATGTGTCTGACTGTTTCTTGATATCACATGGAGTGAATCAAATTGGCTGAAGACAGATGTCTGTGATGGTGGGGCTCACTGGAGGAGGCTGACATGATCATCCACTTGTATTTTTGTACTTTTCTATTGTATAACTTTTTAAAATTCTGTGTCATAATTTTTTATTCTTTTGCTAAAGGAACATTGACAACTCCTTGTGAATACATTCTGTGACGGATACCACAGTAACCAAATTGGAGAAAATAGCTTATAGTCTAACAAGCCAGGTTTCGTCCTGAAACCTGTCTCGTCCAGTATTACCATCGACTGGGTTCATAATAAAATACAATATACGTATCCAACACAACACGACTTCCCTCGACCCTTCCACTAACTCCAGATCATCAGATTGGAGTTGCAGAAATTTTCTTCTCTAAGTATTAGGTGATCTCATTGAAAACTTACAAAATACTTAAAGGGAATTCCAGAGTAGATGTAGGTTAAGATGCTTCCCCTGGTTGGAGAATCTAGGACCAGGGGCATAACTTAAAAATAAAGGGGTGCCGATTAGAACCAAGATGAGGAGAATTTTTGTTAAGCAAGCGTGGTGAATTTTTGAAATTCTGTATCCCAGTGGGTTGTGGAAGCTCAGCTTTTGAGTATATTTATAGTAGAGGTTGACAAACTTTTGTCTATTGATGTAAAAGGTTATGGTGATAGTGTTGATAAAAGGCATCAAAGTGCTTGACTAACTATGATTGTTTTAAATGGTGGAACAAGCTAAACAAGTTGACCTACACCTGTTTCTTTGTTGCTGTGTAGTGGCAGAAGCCACTGTTTTTGTTTCATGCCACAAATCCTGATCCCTAGATACCCAACTTCACTCCTCTCCCAAACAACTATTTGTTTTAAAAACAAAATACTGCAGGTACTAGAAATCTGAAATAAGCTCAGTAAATTTGAAAATACTTAGCAACCATTGTGGAAAGAAACAGATACGTTTTGAGTCAAAAATGACCTTTCAGAGTTCTGAACAAGATTCCTATTTGACTCCAAACGTTAACCCTGTTTATCTCTACACAGACTATTTGTAATTTTGGAGTGCTATTTGGCTCCAAAATGAACTTCAAACCACATAGCTGTACCACTAACAAAGCAGCTTACTTTCACCTTCGTAATGTTGCTCAGTTCTGCCTCACATGAGCTCATCAACTGTCAAGATCGTCATGCATGTATTTGTTACCTCAAAACTGAATTAATCCAGTGCTTTCAGGAACAAAAACAGAAGTTGCTGGAAAAGCTCAGCAGGTCTGGCAGCATCTGTGAAGAAAAAATCAGAGTTAACGTTTCGGGTCTGGTGACACTTTGTCAGAACTGATAGTAGCTGGGAAAGCGTTAGCTTATATGCAGAAAATAGGAGGGGGATGGGGGTAGAGAGTAAACAATAGGATAGAGCCTGAAGAGAGAGAAGAGCAGTTGGATAGACAAAGGAGGTGACAACGATCTGGCTTGGAGGATGATAGCTGTAAATGGGAACTGTTAGTAACTAACAATAGATAGTGTGTAATGGCAGGCTATGTGACAACAAGGCCTGGTGTGTGGAGTAGGGGGGCTAGGACATTGGAGAGGTTTAGGCCCTAAAATTATTGAACTCGATATTGAAGCTGGAGGGCTGCAGGGTCCCCAAGCGGAAAATGAGGTGTTGTTCTTCCAGCTTGCATTGAGCTTTGCTGGAACGCTGCAACAAGCCAGAGACAGAAACAGAGATGTTGGCCAGGGAACAGGGTCGTGTGTTAAAGTGACAGGCAACAGGTAGCTTAGGGTCTTTTTTGCAAGCAGAATGTGGATGTTCTGCGAAGTGGTCACCCAGTCTACGCTTCGTTTCCCCATTGTAGAGGAAACCACATTGTGAGCTGAGAATGCAGTAGACTATATTCTGGGAAGTGCGGGTGAAGTGTTGCTTCACCTCGAAGGTATGCTTCCCCTGCAACCGGTGAAGCTGCAACATCTGCCCATTTACCTTCTCCTTCCCCACTATCCAAGGACCCAAACATATCTTCCAACTCTGCTGATCTATTTCCTCCCCCACAACCCTCAGATATCTGAGGTGTTTTAGTTTTGACCTCTTAAGCATCCTTGATTTTTAGTCACACCATTAGTAGCTATGCCTTCAGCTACTTGGGCCCTCATCTGTGGAATTCCTCCACTAAACCGCTAGACAGGATTTACATGTATTTGGAAAGGCAAATACTGATTAGTGATAGTTAGCATGGTTTAGTGCGTGGGAAATCATGTCTCACTAATTTATTTGAGTTTTGTGAAGAAGTAACGAAGGGGATTGATGAAGACAGAGTGGTGAATGTGATCTATATGGATGTCAGTAAGGCGTTCAACAAGATTCCGCATGGAAGACTGGTTAGCAAGGTTAGATTATGTGGAACATGGGGAGAACTAGCCATTGGATACAGAACTGGCTAGAACGTAGGAGACAGAGGGTGGAGGATTGCTTTTCAGACTAGAGACCTGTGACCAACAGTGTGCTACAAGGATCGGTGCTGGGTCCACTGCTTTTTGTCATTTATATCAATGATTTGGATGTGAACATAGGAGGTATAGTTGGTAAGTTTGAAGATGATACCCAAATTGGAGGAGTGGTGGACAGCGAAGAAGCTTACCTTCAGAGTACAACTGGACCTTCATCAGATGGGCCGGTGGGCTGAGGATTGGCAGATGGTGTTTAATTTAGATAATTGTGAGGTGCTGCAGTTTGGAAAGGCAAATCTGGGTAGGACTTATACACCTTATGGTAAGGTCCTGGGGAGTGTTGCCGTAAAAAGAGACCTTGGAGTGCAGATTCATAGTTCGTTGAAAGTAGAGTTGCAGGTAGACAGGATAGTGAAGGTGGTGTTTGGTATGCTTACCTTTATTGGTCAGTGCATTAAGTATAAGAGTTGGGAGGTCATGCCGTGGCTGTACAGGACATTGGTTAGGCCACTTTTGGAATATTGCGTTCAATCTGGTCTCCCTGCTATAGGCAGGATGTTGTGAAACTTGAAAAGGTTCAGAAAACATTGACAAGGATGTTGCCAGGGTTGGAGGGTTTGAGTTATAGGGAGAGGCTGAATAGACTGGGGCTATTTTCCTGGAGCGTCAGAGGCTGAGGAGTGACCTTCTAGAATTTTTAAAATCAGGAGGGTCATGGATAGGGTGAATAGCCCAGGTCTTTTCCACAGGATAATGGAGTCCAAAACTAGACGGCATAGGTTTAAAGTGAGAGGGGAAAGATTTAAAAGGGACCTAAAGGGCAAGTTTTCCACGCAGAGTGTGGTGCGTATATGGAATGAGCTGCCAGAAGAAGCGTGGGATGCTGGTACAATTACAGCATTTAAAAGGCATCAGGATGGGTACATGAATAGGAAGTGTTTAGAGGAATATGGGCCAAATACTGACAAATGGGACTAGATTAATTTAGGATATCTGGTCAGCATGGGCGGGTTGACCGAAGGGTCTGTTTCTATGCAGTACAGCTCTATGACTTTATGACATTCTTTAAATACTACCTCTTTCGACCAAACTTGTGTCTTGGTTCCATATTTTGTTTTGCAATGTTCTTGTGAAGCAGCTTGGAGCATTTCATTATGATAAAGGCTTGTTTGTACAACAATTCTTGTAAACTAAATTCTGTGTTGAAAAGCAAGAACAATTTTGTTCTTTAACTATCTTTCTCTTGATTACTCCTTTGAGGAGGAATGAGTGTTAGAATATGTTTCGACAGGTACAGGCCAGCCCTGAGTAGCTATTATTCATTTCTGAACCTTGGTATTGAATGTTGGCTGAGTTATCAACCGCCAGGCAGAGTCCATGCATATAGTTTTCCAGTTGGAGTTCTATTTCAACTTATATATCACAATTCTGCCAATGGTTGATTGCGTGTTCCCAATTTAAAAATCCGGATAAATTCTCACCCAGTTATCCTTTAATTATCACATAACCATCACCTGTTCCCTCATTCTATTTGGTGTCTAGCACACCTGCAGACTCTACTGGATGATAATGAGTATTTGCCAGAAGAAACAATTGCAACCAAGACATGTCCAATTGATAATTGCACA